TGTCATATTGTGCTTTCATCAGTTTTTCCTAGCTTAGTCTTCCCTTGCCCTGATCCTTGATAGCATTCCTTCCCTGTACCTTTTCTTTCTGCTCTCCCATCTCTACATTTGCTCACTTCTTACCCTCTTTATTTTCACAGTAGCAGTATTATGCAGAATTGGTCCTTATGTGAGTGAGTTATTTCACTCAGCATCCTGCCTTCCAGCCTTTCCTGGTTGTGTGGTATGTTATGAGATCTCTGCTATTCTTGAATGCTGCCTGGTATAGTCCGCTGTGTGACCCTAACACCATTTCTCTCTCCATATGGGTTAGTTTTGGTGGGCAGTTGCTGTGAGTTTGTAACCTTTGCCAGTGGTTCCTGCTGCTACTTGGAACAAGCGGGGATGGGGGTTCCAACCTCCGCCCTTTCCTTTTGCAGGTGAGCACTGAATGGCAGTGCCACAAGGCTGCCTGCTCCAGTTCCTAGTAAATCCGTGCATTTTTCAGGTGATGATGCTGTGGGGATGCACAACATTCTTGGTGATGATGGACATGATTCTGTGATGATGGTTGATGTGGTGATGAGTGTGGATGATGGTGATGATTCAATGATGGTGATAGTGATGATTCTGTGATGGTGGTGATGATTCAGTGACTGTAGCAATGATTCTTGGTGATCGCTGGGTAATGTTGGTGATGATAGTAATGATTCAGTGATGATGTTGATGATTCAATGATGATAGCAATGGATGATGGTGATGATTCTGTGGTGAGGGTGATGGTTGATGGTGATGATTCTGTGATGAGGGTGACGATTCTGTGTTGATGGTGATGGATGACGGTGATGATTCTGTGATGAGGGTGATGGTTGGTGGTGATAATTCTCTGATGAGGGTGATGGGTGATAATGATGAATCTCTGATGAAGGTGATGGTTGATGGTGATGATTCTCTGATGAGGGTGATGATTCAATGATGATAGATAGCAATGGATGATGGTGATAATTCCATGAAGATGGGTCATGATTCTGTAATGGCGGTGATGGGATGATGATTCTATGATGAGTGTAATGGTTGATGGTGATGATTCTGTGATGGTGGTGATGGTTCTGTGTTGATGGTGATGGTGGTGATGATCCAGTGATGAGGGTGATGGTTGACGGTGATGATTCTGTGATGAGGGTGATGGTTGACGGTGATGATTCTGTGATGAGGGTGATGGTTGGTGGCGATAATTCTCTGATGAGGGTGATGGTTGATGATGATGATTCTCTGATGAAGGTGATGGGTGATGGTGATGATTCTGTGTTGATGGTGATGGTGGTGATGGTTCTGTGTTAATGGTGATGGATGATGGTGATGATTCTGTGATGAGGGTGATGGTTGATGGTGATGATTCTCTGATGAGGGTGATGATTCAATGATGATAGATAGCAATGGATGATGGTGGTGATTCTATGAAGATGGGTCATGATTCTGTGATGAGGGTGAGTGACGATGTTGATTCTTTGATGAGAGTAATGGTTGGTGGTGATGATTCTGTGATGATGGTGATGATTCTGTGTTGATGGTGATGGTGGTGATGATCCAGTGATGAGGGTGATGGTTGACGGTGATGATTCTGTGATGAGGGTGATGGTTGATGGTGATGATTCTGTGTTGATGGTGTTGATTCTGTGTTGATGGTGTTGATTCTGTGTTGATGGTGATGGTGGTGATGATTCTGTGTTAATGGTGGTGGATGATGGTGATGATTCTGTGATGAGGGTGATGGTTGGTGGTGATAATTCTCTGATGAGGGTGATGGTTGATGGTGATGATTCTCTGATGAAGGTGATGGTTGATGATGATGATTCTCTGATGAGGGTGATGATTCAATGATGATAGATAGCAATGGATGATGGTGGTGATTCCATGAAGATGGGTCATGATTCTGTGATGAGGGTGATGGGATGCTGATTCTATGATGAGGGTAATGGTTCATGGTGTTGATTCTGTGATGAGGGTAATGGTTCATGGTGTTGATTCTGTGATGAGGGTGATGGTTGATG